TTAGTCTGCATCAGGCGTATAACTTCATCCCCTAACGCGCTGAAGTGTAGGGCAATGAAATCATTCTTAGATTGGAAAAATGCGATTTAAAGGGACACATCATTAGCCTTGGTTTCAGGCCCACTGGCTGCGACTACAATAGCGGATTGCTCTTCACAACAGCAGCAATAAAATGATGACATTTCTCACTTCCACAACGCTGTAGCAAATTAAGCTCATGTTACACGCCTATCAAGACTGTTTATTGTCTACCCACTTGTCAGAGATGCTTTACAGTGTCAGCTTTGGTTTTGAGGGCCTAAATACGGTGGACCTGGGGGGCACAATGCAACAGAATTAGCCAAGCAATTAAAACTTGACAACTCACAGCATTAGCCGACAACACATCTTTAATGCAAATAAGGGTCATTCACATAGCAAATCATTTTGAACCCAAGTGCTCAGTACAGTTATGGCTGGTAAAGCATGGAATTGCAACCCAAGCTCATTGGAAAAACTTGCCTGTGGCGACATTTCTGTAAAATATTTTGCAGCTTCTTGCATGTTTCACGACACTTTCAAACTGAAAAAGTGTTCAGTTTTATCAGAGACAGATAAATGTGAATCTGGCAGGGTTTTATTACACTGATTGTTGTATGTATTGCGTCAGTTCGGAAATGTCAGACGCTAAAAGATTAATGCTCTTAACGTTAATAATCACATTTGAAAATAACGCACTACCTACACTAAATGCTACCCTAAACTAGGGATGGTAAGATTCACTGATTCGCATCTGAAATTTACGATGCGATGCATCGATTTAAAAAAGTGTGCATCAGATAAAAGTTGGCATTTGTTTCTAACATATTTGCATTGGTAAAAAACGATTTATTTATTTATAGCGCGTTCGAAATCGGATCGCACTGCATCATAATATGGGTAAATCATATGTCGCATCGCAATGGTAGCTGCTTCATATGTATCTTTAATTTATTGTATCGTTGGCTATGCATCAAGATGCGTATCACATCGTCCTCAGTTATGGAGATGCACTTCCCTACCCTAAACCTAACCGATAATGTTAACAAAAGCAAACGTGAAATAACAGTGCATTTGTTGAGGGAATGACATTTTAGTTTGCTTCTACACTGAAAAAATAATTTGATGTAGGTTTTACATTGAGACAACGTAACATAATTGCTTGTAAATTTTGGAAATAATTACAAAGAAACTGAAATTTTGAAGTAGAAAGGCCAAAATAGTATATTCTTGTAAAACGAACTCCAGTAATCTTTATTTACGAATTCATAAAAAACTCGTCATCCATAGTGCAACACTTTACTAGGTGAGCTACCGAGCAAGTTTACTACATGAAAGCCACACATATGGAGCTGGTTCTGTGAGGCAAATGTCAAAATGTATTAGTTTTCAAATCATGCACTAGGGCAAAGTGTTTTGAGGTAATAACAGTATTGTGCAAAGAACTGCACAAAAATAAGTATTTATTAATTGACAAATTTGTTGGTGTTTTACTGCCACTAGTGGTCATTTCAGTTGGAAACTGCAGTGAATTGTATGTATAGGTACATTTTTGGAGTTTTGTACAAATGTAGGTTGGTAGGCACGTTTTCCCAACGAGCCCGTGTTGTGGAATTGGTAGGTTGGTAGAGCAAATGTTGTTATTTAATAGCAATATGGCTAATATTGGATTGTTTCCCAAAATGCATCATTATCGGAAAAGTTTCATTAGTGTTTCATCTGTTTGCTTTGCTAAAGGCATTGTGTTGTGCCCCCCCCCAAGCCACCATGCTGATCAATTACAGTCAGGAAACCCAAAAGATGGAAATCTGTTGGCATAGGCCTGCAGATTAGTTCACTTCACAAATGTTGTCTAACTAATTATCCAGTCATCACATGGCAAAACATTTTATGTGCATACTCCATTAGGCAGATGCATAAATCATCTTTTACTGTCTCCTACTAAAATTGAGCATCTTTCAAACAGTCCTGCATGTATTTCCGTATTCCTGTCTAACGCTGTTGTGTCTCCATCCCAGCAATCCATCAATGACGCCATGCGCTGCTCCACGCTGACCAGGATGAGCGGGAACGGTAGCGGTGGGGAGAACGGGCGGATTGTCACACATGACTTCCCCAAAGCTGTGCAGACGCTGCCGTGCATGAGCCACGCGGCGAGCATGGGCCTGGGAGCCTCTGGCATGTGACCATCTTGACGGAGCGGCACGCGTCACATGTAACGCACGGACCTCCCGTTCACCTGCCGTCTGCCCCTATGTCTGTCTGGCCGCCCGCAACAGACGCACCGTACTGCCAAAATGCACTCGAAGACTCTTCTCAGTGAATAAAGAGAAGTCTTGTGTCCGATTCGACACTCGCGCTGTGCCAATATTATAAACCTGTTTACTTCTGTCTGAGTGTGCAATATTTTAGTTCATATCAGTGTTCGGCAATGTTGTCTTTAACTTGAATTTCTTTATAAAGATTAGCTCACAGAGATGTTTTTTTTTTTTTGCACAAATATATTCTATGAAATGAAAAAAGCAAGTTCATTTTCCTTATACTTACTAGAAAAGAGTTAGAGTAAGCTAACAAGCAAGATCTTACGCATTTACAGTATATGGATCCAGTGCCCCGTAAACAACATTGCTTATTTCTCTCGGTCACTCTGCGTATTGAACAAACATATCAGCTCATTTAACGACCTGTCCATAGTGTAAATACTCCAATGTAAATCTGAAACCTAGTGAGGGATAAATTTGATTTGTTGTCGATCGGTAGAGCATAGCAGAACTGAACTTGTTGATTATCTTACTCTGTGATTTCCCACCTCATGGACCTTGCATAGCTGCTACGCCTCGTTTCAGGCGCCATACCTCATCGGAGACCTGGGAGCGAGCCGCCACATGTTTTGATTGCCACTTCATTGGGAGCTCTCCTAGGACGGAGTCAAATTTGACCTCAGTTATGGGCAAATGTGCTTTAATGAGCTAGTTCGTCCCCAACACAAACCATCGGATCTCGTTAGCGTGAAGCCATTGAGAATACATTAAGAAAAGTTCATTTAAATGGTGTTGCTGTAACAAAAAGGGTACTTTGGTAAAGAAGGAATATCCAGAGATTTCCGCCTAATCTAAATGCCCATCATTCAGTTTCTACACATCCCTTGCCACATTTGGCTAATTTGATCATTCTAAAAGAGTGTAGCACTCTCGGTTTACTGCATTTAAAATCCAGTCAGCAGATTTTCCCCCACAATCCATGTAGAAATTGTCAAACACTCTATGTGGGCCTACATGGAACACGCCTTAAAGGGATAGTTCACCCAAAAATGAAAATTCTGTCATTTACTCACCCTCACGTTGTTCCAAATGACACCCATATGACATTTTATGAGGTGTACACAAAAAAATATTTTCCATATTTTATATGTCCTTCATATGCATTGTTTGGACCCCACTGACAAAAATATGGTCGCTACAGGTCGTTCAGGTTTGGAACAACATTAGGGTGAATAAATAACAGATTTTTAACGATTGAGTCAACTATAAGTTGTTTTCTGTTAAGACAACTAACAAAGAAAAGAGTGCAGAACAGCTACAGGATCCAAATACTGGTGAAACATAGGCTGTTCTGTCCTATATACACACTGTGTGACAAGGCTCCTCACGAGATGGTGATTGTGGAGATATCATTGATCGGCTACGGGGGCCAAGCTGACCTTTCTGAGCTCTTGGCTTCTTCACTGCAGGCTTTCAGAACATGGCTTCCAGCTCAACATAAACAGCTCTACCTATTCAGCCTTCCCCTGCACACTGCCATTGTACTGTGAAACATGACACACTGTGTGGCCATCGAAACACTTTTATTTCTCTGCCTTTTTCTTTCCATTTTCTTGACGTGTTTTATTAGGCACAGAACACTGCAGTCCTTTATGGCCTCATGTGAGAGCAGTATTTTATAAGCAGTAAAAGATTTGTAAAGTTCAAGTGAGGCATTTAATGTTTATACCGCTGTGAGTTGATTGGACTAGTGTTTTACACATTGCTGACGCAATGTTACTCGGATATTCTCACTGATAAGGATGTTGATTTCGGTTAGTTAAGAGAGAAATGGAGTCTTTGTGTTTCTGCTTTAAATGTTGAAACTTCTTATTTTGGGGGGTATTTCAATGCAAAAATTATTCTTCATACTCACCTACTTCTTGATGATTCAACAATCTTGAACATTTTATTTCGGATGTTTTTTGTTTGTTTTATTTGATTGTTTATTTTTTTCTTTTTTATCATAAAAGAGAGATGTGGTTGAATCAAATTTACTGGAAAATACATTCAATCAATTATGAATAAAACTTTTCTAGCCACAGTCACCAAGAGCTGGGTCACTACTTTTTAACCATGGGAAATTATTCATATTTTAGTCATCCTTTTGTAACAAATACTTGTGCTTTAGGTGTGATTTTTTTAAAATGTATTAAATTGAAGAACAATATTTATTGCTATGAATGCTATTTTATATGAATAATAATTGCTAAAAGTAGAGTGATTATTCATTAATTTCTTTCTATTCATTACTTGATAAGTGGCCATCTCTGAAAGATTGGTGTTTAATGTATTTCCAGCTGTAGATCTCTAGAGCTTGACTCACTGTAGAGTGTTTTAATTACCTACAGGTGCATCCCACACATAATCACTGGCGTTTAACCAGTCGGCACATGTTGCCTCAAACCCATTCATTTTTGGAATTATTAATTCTTTAATCTTTGTCAATTTGAGCTCCCCTAACTCATATGACATCCTCTTATCGAAAAGACCAGAAAAGCCTTCGGTATAAAAGAATACCTAATTTTTAAGGCAGTCTAAAAGAGCAGTATGCTTCCTGATAACCTGAGCTGTTTGATTGCTCACACTGTGACTATGGCATTGTAATGTGTGTGTGATTGTGTGGGCCTGAACAGCATACATAATGAAGACACAGTGTGGGTGCGTGAGACGGCATGAGAGGATCCATGACACCTGCCACTGTGCCTTAATCCCACGCTCTTTCTTTGCTCTTCTCTTATACACTCCTCCTTGTGAATTGTATTATTTCCCATCAATCTATCTTTCTTCCTTTTGGCTGCACAATCGTGTCGTAGCCCACTAAGTCACAGCTGCTTTTATCTCAGCAGAGGGTCTCGGACCATCCGGCATCATGTCCAGATTCTCAATAAAATACAGACACAAACATTTGTGGAAATATTACCCACAGTGATGTGCTGTGAAATATACAAGCTAAGGATATCTTAAGTGACATGCGGTCCTCTGCCTAAGTTTCTCGGCTTTGAGATTGATATTAATCATGAATCGTAAGGGGGCAGAATATTTGAGCTGAGTCTGATCTGACACTACCATCCCACCATCGAGAGAGAATAGCTTGGGGCAACATGGTTGGATGAATGTAGTTTGAAAAAGCAAACATACATGGAACATGACGGAAAGTCATCTTCCTTTAGATCATACTCCATGCTCTTTTCTGTGCAATTACAAGGATTAGAAGCTTTCAAGATTTTTTTTTTTTAAAAGCAAAAGCACTGTAAAATTATGATAAGCCTAAGTCTTGTGACATGAATAGCCTAATGTAACTTTGTGTGAGGAAATACACTGAAATTTTATTCACTAATAATGTTCCTCACAGTGAGCTGGTAACCACTGTGACTGGATTGCTGAGTCAGTGAGTTGAATTTGAAATCTGGATCAGTTTATTTGTTTATTTATTTTTTTCATGAATGAATCAAAGAACGCTTATGTGAACAGGATAAAATTCATTAAAATATGATTTTTAATTATTTACAAGTGTATTTTTTTTCACAAAAGGAAATAACTACAAGAGTTGAGGCAGATGTTAAGATTTTCTATAACAACAAATTTAAATCTGTTTATCATATATATCTATTGTATATGGAAGCCCATTTCTGCCACAAGGGGAAAAAATCATGCCTTGGTAAATCATTTAAAATCGTAATAATTGGACATTTTAAGATTCTAAGGGCCAGATTTACTAACCGTTTGCGCCAGCGCAAACCGTCTTTAGATTTACTAAAGACGCGTAGTAAAGAATTAGCACTAAAAAGGCGTGGACACTTTTGCGCCTGACCTTACTGAATATACATTTGTAGGAGTTTCCCTTTCAGACAAAAAAATTATGGAAGGAGAGTATTAAAATGAATCACGCAACGTGTTTTACTAACGTTTGTGCTCGTCAAATTACTGGTGTTTGTGCCATTATTTAACGCCCCAAAAAAGCACGTCTTAAACTATTTTGCGCCTGTGTCGTAAGTAGATCACCCGCACCTTATGAGCATCGGCTCTGCTTATTTGCGACTACGCTAATTTGAGCTGCGCTTGGTATATTGCGTTGGTCGATATGTAAATGAGATGTTGCTTCTGTGTTCTTTAATTTGCGGGTTGTCAGTAAATCACCCACAGAAATTTCCACTCCCATCGGCGCTGTTTTGGAATTGCACTCTCCTGCTAATTTGCCCTGTTTAGTAAATCTGGCCCTAAGTCTATTATGAGATAAACATCTAAATTATGACAAATTAAGTCATAATGAGATAAAATGTTGATATTGTGATATAAAAAGTAATAATTCTAACATAAAAAGTAAACATTATGACATAGAAAGTTGTAATTATGGCCAAAATATTTGGTGACTTAGTATATCATAATCTTGACTTTTCATGTTATAATTATGACTTTTTATGTCTTAGTTATGATTTACTTTTATTAAGCATGTTTTTTTTAATCTAGTGGAAATCAACTTCCATATACAGTATGTCATTATGTGAAAATTTTAAATTTGTCATTCACAGAAAACCTTAACATAATCATGATCTAAAGAAGGCTTGTAATATAGTTTTATTGTACCACTTTTTTGTGATTTTGCATCCATTCCAATTGAAAGCTTGTCACCGCAAATTTGTGACATAATAATGAATAATAATGTCAATCATTTCTTATAATTGTGGCTTTTTATAAGTTTGTCCTAATTTCAACTTTTTATCTGTGTCTCATAATTTCAGTTTTGTTAATTACACTGAACAAAATTATAAACGCAACACTTTTGTTTTTGCCCCCATTTTGTGAGGTGGATGGATTATCTCGGCAAAGGAGAAGTGCTCACTAACACAGATTTAGACAGATTTGTGAACAATATTTGAGAGAAATAGGCCTTTTGTGTACATAGAAAAAGTCTTAGATCTTTGAGTTCAGCTCATGAAAAATGGGGGCAAAAACAAAAGTGCTGCGTTTATAATTTTGTTCAGTGTAGTTTGCATCCATTTTGGCAATTCTCATGTCT